CGGTGGGGGTGTTTTGGGCGAGTCGGGGGTGGGGCACCCCCGCGGCGGGGGGCCGGGGCTCAAACCCCTACTCCGGCTTTGCCTCCGGGGGCCCCCGCCTGACAACCCTGAGGACATATCAACAAAATTTGAAAAACTTGCCCTATGCTCAATTTCTCATTTGTCCCACTTTGTTAATGGTTCACAAACGGCCAAAAAAAAGGAGAAGAAGAAGAAGAAGAAGAAGAAGAAGAAGGTTCACAAACAGCCAGTACAAAGCCCCTGGCAATTCGACAAAGTGAATGGCGCACTCCTAAAATTCGATTTAGACGCAGGCTTCCGGACCAGCATGGGTGGCGATGCCAGCTGAAAAAGGAAAGAAATAACGGCGGACGCAGCATGTTTTCAAACCCTAAAGCCGAAAAAATACTCATGCCGGCAAAGAAAGCATGCTCCAACTTGAAATGAGCAATTCCAGTCCAAACAAAAAGTATCTGTTGCCACTGTTGGGCGTGTCTTTGCTTTATTTTGTTTTTTTTTTGTTTCCCCCTCTGACAACACGATTGCCCCTTGTAAATATGACACCCGGTCTGACACCACCGCCGTCGGTACTTCCGTTGCCGTGTCGAACCTCGGCGCATCTTTCTTTGCCGAGACATCTGTTTTTTTTGCCCATTCGATACCTTGAAAGAAGAACGTGGGCGGCTGGCGGGTCGACAAAGCTTCGCAATGCGAGATTCGCCAGGCTTGGGTGTACTTGTGGTTGAAGGCTATGTGGTGCACCTTCCCAAGCTTGGACACGTTCCACTCGATTACGAGCCCTTTTGAAATGGACACGTTCCACTCGATTACGAGCCTTTTTGAAACTTACCTCTGCGTGGGCTCGCCATCCACATCCGCACCGTCTTCATAGCGACCGACATTGTCTGTCTCGTGCCTGATGTGTTCCCTACTCCTAAGAATGGCTCCAATGCGGACTAGAACCAGTCTGTTCCATCTGTTCCACACTCCAATGGGAGTCCCTATGTCTAGTCATTTGGCTCATCACTTAAGATGCAGTGGACCAGTGGCGCACACTGTTCCATCTGTTCCACACTCACCCATGTGTAGTCTGTTCCTAGGGCTGTTCGTAGGGACTGTTCCATGTGTAGTCTGTTCCTACGGACTGTTCCATGTGTAGTCTGTTCCTACACATGGGTGAGTGTGGAACAGATGGAACAGTCCCTAGGGAGTAGGATCAGGCTGTCTCTAGTCCGCATTGGACCACTGCATCACTTAAGATACACTGTTCCTCTTAAGACTGTTCCATCTGTTCCACACTCACCCATGTGCAGTCATTTGGCTCATCACTTAAAATGAAGTGGTCCCCACTGCTCTCTGTAAGACGCTAATTTAGACAACAAGCTATTATTGTCACACTTTTAAACACACACCCCCTGCAATGCTAGTGGTGCTGGTAAGAGCAGACACCGCTAGCACCCGGGGGTGGTCCGTCTATTGGTGGGAAGCATCACCTGCTGGAAAAAATGAAGAACCTTTATGGCAAACTTTGTACTTGTATGATGACACAGTTTCCCCCCCTCAAAGGACTTACTGACTTTTATTCTTAGGATAAGGACTACGGTTCCGTTCCCGTTTTCTCTTGCTGCTACTGTCCCCCACCCAACCTCTTCCCCCCCTCTTCCCATCTATCTCTCCCCCCCCCCCACTATCCCTGACATGTTCCCCCCCCCTTCCTATCTATCTCTCCTCCCCCCTCTATCCCTGACATGTTAAAGGAAGGAAGGGTGTCAAGTGAAGAAACTGCTACACATACATACAGTAAGAAGGGAACGGAGTGTTGTACTGGCAGCAGCTGAGAGACAGTATATATCATCAGCCAGAGGAAGATGTGCAATTGCAAAAAACAGCTCAGACGGGATAGGGGAGAGGCGCATTTGGAGTGCGCAGCCACGGCCTCCCTCCTCCCGTGAAGCAGAAACAAGGAGGGATATTACCTCAATGGAACCCAGACGGTCGTTCATGAATCTTGCTGACTGGGGGAAGCCCGATGATTGGTGGCCTGCTCGACACAGGGACTCAAAACTCACTATGCAGCTCAGGAGCTGAGCTCAGTAATGGCGTTCCATACCTCATGGGGGTGGCATCTCACGAACTTCGACAGATCGGTGGCAGCAAGCAAGTTCCTCAGCAAAAGTTGCCCCGGGGTTGGGAACCACATCTCAGCAGCATCCGAACAAGAAGCTACAACAACAACAGGTGCCCTGGCCAGGCTTCACTTCAGCAAACAGCATAGCTGAATAACAGCATAATACCAGGAACTATCTACAATGTCTGCATTTATCTGAGAATTTTCAAAGACACTATAGATCAGTCAAGATGATACAGGGGGGCTGTGGACACCTAGGAGTAGTCTCAGGAAGATCAGTTTTCGACTTCTGGGTGGGGGCTGGGTCAGTTGTTAAGTGGGGGACCTGCAATGGGATGGGTCAACTTGCAGCTCCAAGGGATACAGGGTGCTCCAGAGTAGAATAGAATAATGACTACATGCATTGTTGTATTAATGGGACGCTGGACCCGGTTTCCAGCAGGTGTCGCTCCCCACCAATAGATGGAGCAGCCCAACAGCCAAGGCCTCAATTCCGGTGGTCCTCTTACCACTATCGGGATAGTGGCCTTACAAAAAAAAAAAAAACAGAATGAAAGTGGCTGTGAACCCTGCCAGCATTGATTATTCTGGTATCCAGAGGATTGACTGTGAGGTTGCCAGAGGAGGGAAAAAACCTCTTCATACAAATTACCGAGCATCCTCAAAATCTAGACATTCTCGGCACGCTTGCAAGAGCGGTGCTCTACCAGCTGATCTATACCCCGAGGAGTCTGTCTGTCCTTCTCAATTCCCGTGGTTCTCTTACCGCCACTGGGATAGTGACTTTGCACATTCCTGTTCTGCAGGGTTTTGTGCATCTGCTGGAAAAGAGGGTAATCGTTGAGCTTTGAGGGATGTCGACTTGTGTGCCTTGTTTGTCTGCATGACCATTCTCATCTTCCCTGTACAGTCTGTACTGTTTATATTCTTAAGCCACGGGTATTTTTGGCCCTTCCCTCACTGTGCCTGGACACGAACTGCGGGCCAAAAGAAAAAAAAACGAATCAGCACTGGCCTTCTTGTGGCGGTTGCACCAGCCATTTTTCTTCCGTAGGTTGAACCCCAAAACTTGCTGCTGCATGCAAGCAGAGTTCGAGAGAAATGGCTGGGAAAGAAACTGCAAGTTTAAGGTCCAAATATATAGACAATTCATGCCATGGAGAAAACCTACCATCTTCCCCTGAACAGAGCACCCGGTCATTATGGCTGTCCAAATTTATAGACAATTCATGCCATGGAAAGAAACTGCTTGTGTGTGTACGTGTGTGTGTGTGTGTGTGTGTGTGTGTGGAACCATCGACCCCCCCAAATCCACCCCCTCACCGTCCACCACCCCACGCCACCGTCATGCTTGTGCCACTTCATTCAACATGAACCAAACGAGCAGAAGAGGAATCCAAATCACGAACAACAAAGGTCAAAACAGAAAAGCACACAGGACTACGCAACTCACACGACAACATTGAACTGAAATGTGTTGTCCACGCAAATACTGAAGCCCATCACCGAATGAAACAAGTTCCCATGACGAGAATGCCCACAACGAAAGCAATCATCAATTAACCGGATCAATCTTCCGCATCATATCACTGCTAACACTTTCGGTTGATTCCCGGGCCGAAGGCGTTTGTGTCCTGGTGGAAGAACATGTCCCGCCCCCGCCGGGGCTCCCAACACATGATGCTCTCCCCTCGCACAACCTCTCTCTGTGCCAATTCCGCTGCTATGTCTCTCTCTCTCTCTCTCTCTCTCTCTCTCTCTCTCTCTCTCTCNCTCTCTCTCTCTCTCTCTCTCTCTCTCTCTCTCTCTCTCTCTCTCTCTCTCTCTCTCTCTCTCTCTCTCTCTCTCTCTCTCTCTCTCTTTGCAACCGCTCACAGTCGCAACAAGAGACACACTACAGCGGAATGCTCCCATACCGTAAGAACGAGTGGGATGATGTCTTTTTATATAGAAGATCCCGCGGACCAGGCACGCAGCAGCGCACCTGCTCCTGCGCTGCGGCTTTTCATTTTCTGATTTCTTTTTTATTTTCACTATTTTATTTTTTACCCCTTACTTTCACAGGTGGATCAGAATTGGAAGCCACACCGGACAGGGTCGTTCACTATGTTGTCGATGGGTCCGTATCACGGCTGCCGTCCGCTCCCCGACCACTCCCTGCACCTCTCGCCACCCTAACCGAAACGAACATTTCCAAAACGCCATTGCCCTGCCGCATCGCTCCAGCGACAGCCCCGATCTCTGTGGCAACCATCCTCGATCCATCCGTTGACGCACGAGCCAATGTGCCGGCAGCCCTGTCCAAACCCGCACACAAGGCCCTCATCAACGACTCCATCACCGATGCCATGCCGAACATCGATGCAGGAGAATCCCCACCCTGGGCTTTCCCGCTTGAGGTTCGGCCTGCCTTGGAGGCGGTGTCCGAAGCATCCGTCCCAGCACCCTCTGATCCTACCTCGCAGCCACTCCGTGATCCACCCCATCTCAAATCTTCCGAAGCCAGTGTGACTTCTTCAACCGAAACCACCCCATAGCGTCCCACAACTGCCTCTCGAACGTCAAGCTCGCCCCTAGCTTCCTCCGTTGTTCCTTGGTGGTGTCCCAGTACACTTTTTTCCCCGATCCTTCGCTTGCATCCCGGATCTCCCTCACCTTCTTCACCAGCTCCGCCCTGTGTTACCATACGCTGATTGAGCGCCGGGTCGGAGCTCAATTTGAGCTCCACTCAATCCCGCGCTCAAAAGCGATTGAGCGAGGTTTGAGCGGGCGAGGGAATACGATTTTCCCCGGGAAACAATAAGAAAAAAAAAAGGAAAAAAAAAAGAGTTGTAGATATTTTTGAGATGTACAACCCTATGTTTTTTATTTTATTTTTTGAAGATTTGCTATATTTAAAAAAAAATCAAAAATATGAAATTAAAAAAGAATTAAAAAAAAATCATATGAAATGGGTGGGTTTTTCTATTTTTTTTCACAGGGATTGTTTTGGGGGCAAACAATAAACAAAAATAATAATAAAAAATAGAGGCTTCTAGATCTTTCGGAAACCTATGAACTCATGTTTTTCATTGTTTTTTTAAGGCTTATATGTATTTAAAAAAAAAAAAAAAAACATAAAAACGAGAAAAAAAGACAGACCCCACCAACGCCCTAACCCCCCCCACACACGCTGTGACATGCACACACACACACACACACACACACACACACACACACACACACACAAACACACAAACACACACACAAACACACACACACACACACACACACACACACACACACACA